CAAATTCTTGCACTTTTTTGACTGGTCTTAAGATTTTGATCAGGAGTGTATAACAACATTTGTGTTGGTTAACCTCTTGAGCCCCACGCCTGCRGTATAAGGGGCAAACAACATTTTCCATTTTCTGTTACWTTTAACTTCTGTTAACTTAAGATCAGTCAAAGAAAYAGAAAAATGGAAAATGCTATTTGCCCCCCTGTACCGGTGGCTCAAGAGGCTAATGTTGGTTCTAGGGCTGCAAATAATGATTATAATAATAATCGATTAATCGTCTGATTATGTTTTTCGATGCATCAGAGAAAAAAAACATTTTTAATTTTGACCTTTTCATTCCATAATAGAAAATTTGGACTGCTGTTTGAGAATTCTGTTACTATAATATTAAATTGTAATAAGTAAATATTTGTCCAATACCTTCAGTAAAAAAAAAGAATGTAGACAAATATACACAAATGTGTTCTATATACTGTATTTGAAGGCCTCTTCATATTTTCTCTCCATGAGCTTTGTAAAATGTGTCCTTGAAGAAAAAGTGTAACCTGAAATAAAAGTGTGAACTATAGTGAAGTCTTTATGTTTGACCATGGACAGACTCGTGGACAGWCTCATGTCAGTGACGATCATGTTAAGAAGAKAATTCAATAAATGTCTTGTTTTATTAGCAGAATTAGGTTAAGACAAGTGTCTTCCCTCAGACATTGGCAGCAAATTCAAACTTAAACTAAACTTTAATCATTACATTAATACCATCAGAAATTGCTCGACACAACAAATCCATTATGAAATTTGTTGCCAACACTTTTAATAATTAATTTTTCGTTGTTGCAGCTCTAGTTGRTTAGCTGTGATGGCCATCGTGAATAAGTTGTATGTCATATAATTGTTTTTTTAATAGTTAAAAACCCCGTACAAACAGAATTGACTTTACTAGACAGTGATATATTTAAAGCAGGTCTTGTATGATCAGTTAGTGCTCAAAGTACAAGTTATAGAGATGTGGTGTTCATGAACAATCTAAAAATTTCAGACAGCTCAAAAGATGGGCACCAAATGTCTTTTTTAATGTATTTATGTGATTTCAATTAGTTTTATGCCTCGGATGCACACACACACACACACACACTCCTGCTTTGATTGTCCTCAAAGATAAAGGAAAACAGGCAGGGGAGGAGTGCAGCAGTGACTGGGATGTTTAGCAAGGAACTCCTGTAGTACGGTCCTTACATTGTACATCAGCACTAACTGATCAAAACTGAATGCATCTTTGAAACCAACGGATACACAAGATCTAGCTCCCTTAAAAAAAAAAAACATRTATCTTATCTCTAATGAGTTGGAATGATACTCGGCTACTACACAAACCTTTAGCACAATTCCTGTAAAACTGACTGTAGCAACTTTTGTGTTTATATGGTCAGGTAGGTGTGGCGGCTATAAAAATTGCCTTAAAATTCTCTCATTATTCTGGCATTTAGCAAATAGAAGAAATGTTTGTAATCCTAACTGACCTACTGTATTCTGACTTCACGTCACAGTGTGAAAAATATACATAAAGCATATTTTTACGTAGTGTATGTAAACTTCTGGTTTCAACTGTATCTCTAGGTTCATGTTGTATTTTGCGAACAGACAGGTGAATTTGACTCCAAACAGATGATGGCAAGATTTTAAACAAAGATCTAGTAATGTGTTAAAGGTCAGACTCAGCTTAAGTTCTAGTATGAATTTTTTACTCTAAATGTAAAAGAAAAAAATAGCATTTACATCTATTTTTGTGTATTTTAAGATCAGTTTATTATAAAAGCCATCTTGAGTTGGTTGTGGATCTATCCAGTGATTACTTTCTGCAAGTTTTAAAACAATTTGTTCAGTGATTTGGGAGAGATTTTGCTAACACACATGGAAATAGGTTGCCCACTCTCGCCTTTATGCAGCAGGTGATGAATAWCTCTCAGCCACATTCAGTCCCAGCTTTGCCACGTTCTCAGACAGACACGGTGCTTTCTGCATGACTCGTCTCACGGCAGCAGAGGAGTGGTTTTAAGCTAATTCCTCTCACATGCTGCCTGTTAAAGGAGTCAAAAGTTTCTGCTCCGGCCCGTCGTGTTCAGCCAACATGCAGCGCTGACCTCCTGTGCTGTTGAATCTACCACACTGCTGTGATCGCACGGGGGAACTGGGAGCTTCAGCGTGGCCCTGGACTGAAGCGTTGGAACAAAAATAATATCAGGATTCTGACTCACTTATGCAAACAGGTTGCCCCTCCTTGAGCCGGTTGGTTACTGTCGGAGATGAGGCCCTCATGTCGATTCTGGGAGACTGCAGTGATTACCAGTGGAAGGAGTTCCAGGGGTCAGTACCAGGCTGCTGAGCATATCCGTCACACTAAAGTAATTTAGCTACTTGTAGGTTGAAAAAGAAGGAAAGTAGTTGTTTTTTTCTCTAGTTTCAAAACAAACTAAAGACATGTTTGAAGTGTTAATGTAATTTTAAAGAGATGCTGTGTGAAAAGACTGAAACTGCTGAGTGAGAGCTGTTCTGGTCAAACCTTAATTATGTGCAATCTTGTGATATTGCAAGATCTTGCATGAGATGTGTTAGCACCCAGTATCTGTTGAGAATGACTCATGTAAAAGAAGGAGAAGAAGACGTTTAGTTTTTTTTTCACTAAGCGGTTAGCTCTGTTCACAAGTGGAAAGTGTCATGTGAACTAACATAAAGCCTTTCATAAATTACCGGTACTGTAACTGTTTATGTTCTACATTATTAGTGTGTAATCTGTAAAAACTAATTCTTGGTAAAAAATCAACACGCAACATTCTTGGAAGTGTTGCATAAGCCTTTTGTTCTTGAAACTTAACAGCATTTTGGTACATCTACAGGTGGGCAAATTACACTTATGCTTCTAGAAACTTTTGGTTTTTGTTTTGCCACTGAAAGGGGAAGGCAGACAGCATTGTTTTTAAATATCTGTGTKTGTACATGTTTTTGCTACCTGGTGGGGACCATTTTCCCAGAACACACAGTCTAGTGAGGACCCAGTGTTCCTGGTCCCCAGTGGGGGAAATACCATTGGTGTGTCAGGGGTTTGGTTTAGGACCAAGGTGTGAATTGAGTTTAGTTTAGGTTTAGGGTCTGGTATGTATGTGTGAGGTTAGCTTTTATGTAAGTGGTCAGGGTTAGACTGTAGAAATGGCCATTAAATGAGTGGAAGTCCATGCAAAGTCCCCATGAGGATAGAAGAACTGTGTTTTTGTGTGTCTATTAACAAAATAATTTATGAATCACCAGGTAGATTTTAATAAAACTTAGAATGTAATCACTAAATGCACGTCTATGACTGGCTGTTTGGAATAAACTCAATTCAACATGGCTGCCACTGACCTTTATAAAGCACCAAAAATGACTCTAACTCAGTCAGTTTTACAGACCCATAATTTGGTGTGGTAGTAGCTGAGACCGATGTTCAACACAATCTCTGTTAATATTGTGTGAAATTTATTCTAAAAACTTGGCCAACAACTATAAGAGTCAGACCTCTCTTTGTTAGCAAAATATTCCATGAACCACTGGACCAACTTGAATAAAACCTTCAGGAAATAATCATTAGGTGTGCATCTACAACTCTTTACCCTTTGGAGTCAACCCTTCTTAAGATGGCTACCATTTGAGCTTAGCAAATGCAAAGATTGCTTTAATTCAATTTTACAGAGATTGAGCTAAAAGTAAGTGTTGTAGTAACTAAGAGTCATACATAAAACATGCTACCAATGCTACACATTTCTCAAGAACTCAACTGATTTAGCCAGCCCTGTCTGTTAACAAAATAGCCCATGAATGACAGATAACTCAGTTAAATGGCATTAGCCCAAACAAAAATGCTATAATTCAGTTTCTTTTAGGACATTCCATCCTAAATCACCCAATCCGCAGCTCAAAATTTGAGATACTGTGTTGTAGGACAAATACTCCATTCATTTGTGGAATGTTTGGCCTTTAAATATTTTATTGCAACTTTTCAAAATCCTTTCATCCATGCATGCCCAATGTTTATGTTGATTTTTTTGACTGTTTTACTTGTTTTGACTATATATTCAATCTAATTGTTATCATTACAGTATGTATTAGAGTTGGGCATAATCGTATCATGTGCAATAAATCATCAGAAAAACGTTAATCGATTATTTTTTGGCACTTGACGATTAATACGATTAATGCCACCAGGCAGACTGACTTGAGAGTTCTCCAGTCAGTCTGCTTGGTGCTCCTCTCAACTTCAAATATGATGAACATAAAAAAAAGTTCTGTAATTTATTTATCGACATAATTTAAAATTTAATGTATCATCTCAAGTCTGTAATTTTTACACAATTTGGAACAGATTTTTACGAAGAGCAAATCTTTCCCCCTAAATTGGTCATGTGACCAGGACATAAGGATGTCCAGGGACTCCAGGGGTTTAATCGTCAAATTAATTGTTAGGGGCTAAATACCACAATTAATCGTGATTTTTTTGCCAATATTGCCCAACCCTAGTATGGATAGGTTCAAAAGAGGCTTCTTGTAATTTTTTTGTAAATTGCGTCTTCAGGTCAGACATATGAAGTGTTGGACAAACTTTTCACAAGTTGGCATAAGTTGTCTAAACCGTTATAGTGTGACAGGGCCTTCCATCAGAAGACACTATATAGGCAAAGCAATGACAACTAACTCTTATCAGTTCTCATAATAAGGTGGTTTTAGTTAAATATGTAGTGCAATATAATTCCCTTCAAGAAACGCTTAGCCTTTAAATTATTGTTCTTTTGTCAAATAAATCATGTTTCATTTATTTAAAGGTAAGTCTTCAGTAATAACCAAATGCTCTTTTATTCTTCTGACCCAAGAAACATGAATCTTCACAAAAGTTTATTTCAGGTTTTGTTTTTTGTTTTTTGGCAGAGCCAAGTTGGCTTCCCTTTTTGGGCTAGACCAAGAAGCCAGTCAGGGGAATGAGTCATTCCAGTATACAGCTCCCAAACAGCCCAAAAAGAGCTCCAGTCTTGGTAAGATCAGTACTGAAACACTAATGACCCTGATGAAGGAGGCTACCCTGATTGTTTTTACATGTTTACAGGACCAGCCAATCAGAAAGCAACCCCACCACCTGGAGCTCCTGCAGTGTTGTTTGCTGCAGCAGTTCAAGCCTTCAGATTGTGAGTTCAAAACCATCTGAAAGTATTTACTCAGTAATTTATTATTTTCTGTCTTTTATTTTGGTAAGCAATGAATACCTCTAAATTAGGTTACACTATTCCCATTACCCATTGAAGAGAAAAGTTGCTCTTTCTAATAAACACAGAAATGACAAACAATTAGCATAGTCTGTGAAAATACAGTGTGAACACAGTGCTGAATGCTTCTGAAAATTGTTGAAGCTAAAACTAAGTTGTTAAAGCTAAAATAATCACAGCAAAAACTAAAAATAGCTAAAGAAAAATTAGCACAACAGAAGCTGAAATTACATAAACACAAGCCAAAAGCCCAAAGATCCAGTTCCTCGGCAAAAACAGAGTAATACAGTATATGCTGTTAAGTGCCAGGAGGACTGTGATCAGTTATACATTGGGGAAACAAAACAGCCACTGTTCAAAAGAATGAACCAGCACAGACAAGCTATGTCGTCAGGTCAGGACTCTGCAGTTTACACTCATCTACAGGCCAGCGGTCACTCTTTCAGGGATGAAGATGTTCTCATCCTTGATTGAGAGGAACGTTGGTTTGAGAGAGGAGTAAAGGAAGCCATCTTTGTGAAGAAAAACCATCCACCATTAAACAGAGGTGGAGGCCTTCGTGTCCAGTTGTCCTCCTCCTACAACGCTGTCATTGCAAGTATGACTCAGCCCCCTGTGAGCAAAATAATGTGAATCAGGGCCCCAACGATAACTAACACAAAGAGGGAAAGAGAGACAAAAACAAGGGGACGTCAAGCCCTGCTTGCATCCACTACATACACATAACACGACACCTAAGAACCACAGCATCCAAACCAATAAGTCAGGTGATGGGGCACATGACCCTCGATGAACAATAGAACTAATCAAGCCTATTGTTAGGCGATGGCCCTCTTTTGCATGTGACCATCTTGTTTGTCCACCATGTGGAGGCAGTGCTTATAAGGCTGAGTTCACCTGAAACTCATCAGACTGAAGAAGTCTCTTGGAGGAGAGACGAAACGTTTCACTAAAGAAGAACCCATCCAGAGGACCTACTTTTTTTTCTTTTTTGATTTTTTTCTACCTGAATTACTGAGATGCATCAGGACAAGCTAAAAGCTAATTTTAAATTTCACAAAGCAGAATTCCAGTTTTAAAAAGAGAACACGGGTCTTCGTCTGGGCTAGGCACAGTTTTATGCAATGGCATCGAACCCACTACTAAAGCCAAGTCCACTAAGATACGTGACACCATGCCCCTTTTGTATGATTTATGCCAACAGGCCACATCAAATTATGTGCACGTTTTGAAGGTGTCCTTCATGGAAGCCAAGAGTCACGTTTTTCGCTTATAAAATTTTTCTCATGCATAAATGTCATTATCTCAAGAAAACCATTTTTCTCAAGAAAACCATTTTTCTCAAGATAACGTGATATTTATTTCGTTATCAGCAATAACGAGTTATGGTTTTCCTCGTGTGCATCTTTCGGTAAACATGAAGATGGCCTGGTCCCCTCGGCCAGTCACTGATGACGTTTAAAGCCTGCTTAGCTGCAGTTGGGCCAGCCGTCTGCTTAAATGATGCGGGCTGAAATGAAAGTTATCTGGACAAGACAGTTTCAGCCTATGATGGTTGCGTTGATCAATGCCAGCTTCTCCACGAGCTGAGATTTTCAGCTTGAGTTCGTTCTTCTTGGCAAGGTTTTAAGAAAACCAATCTAAAAGGAAACCCATAACTTGTTCACTTGAGAAAAAAAATTGGTAAATTATCTCGTCATCTGGAGAAAACCATGGGGGAAATTATAGGTAGAAAACATCAGCTCTTCGCTTCCGTAGAGTCCTTCCATGAACAGGTTCTGGGGTCTCATTTATAAAGGATTGTGTGGAAACATACTAAAAGTGAATGTACAACCAAAAGGCAGAAATGGCGTACACCAAAAAAAATTCAGATTTATAAAACCGTGCGTACGCACATTTCTCAGGTTCTACCCTCTACATGCCCACACTCAACCATAAACAGTCAATGTAAAGTACCTCATGAATGTTAAGATGTATTTAAATCGGTCAGCTGATCAATGCCAACAAAAGTGATTGGCTCAGACATGCTCCTCCGTACGTCTGGAGGTTGACAGGAGGTTGACAATGTAGAGTAATCTAACAATTTTTGTAAAAAAAACCTCAGCTTTAAATTAATTTTCCCTCAGAGCCTGCAGAACGATAAAAACAAATAAGTCAGATAAAATTAGAAATAAGTCCACCGCTCTTCTCCTCGTCCTCTCCCCCTCCTGCCTGCTCTGTTATCCGCGGCAGACACCCCCGCCCCGCGCGCGTGACAAACACAGACTTTAAACGTGAAGTTTTATAACATTCACTCTGGCGAGGTGGATGCGCCCTGCACGTGTATCCAAAGCGTGACTTGCTGTCCTGCTGTTCTTATCGGGGAGGGGTCTGTGGGTCAGGGAGGGGTCTGTGGGTCAGGGAGTGGTCTGTGAGTCAGGGAGGGGTCTGTGGGTCAGGGAGGGGTCTGTGGGTCAGGGTCGTCTGAGGAGGAAGCACATGAATGGAATTGCGCACGGGAACTTTTATTTAAGATTTAAGTAGTGCTGGGCGATATGATCAAAATTTTATATCATGGTATTTTCAACATTTTCACTGGTTTCACTGTATTTGACAGTATTTTTCTTTTCATCACAGCTCAGCTGATAATAAAATGTACAAACCCTGCTTATTGACTTTTTTTCTTTTACTGTCCCTCTGTCTGTGTCTCTATTTCCCTCCTCTGTGTCTGTTCTTCTCTGACTGGTGGTTGGAGACAGTAGTCACGCATTTTGGTCCAGTCGTGAAGGAGGAGGGTTAAGAAAAGATTATGATCGAGTTTATTGTTTTATGTTATTTATTAAAGCTTATCAGCACGACTCACCTTGCACACCAGTCAATTCCAACTCCACTACGAACTACTTCCTGCAGGCTTTTCACAATAGAACCACGTTAAGTCTCCATCAGCATAACGTCTCCATATTAACTAACCGCGTTAAATCTAACTGTTCACGTCACTGAAGAGGTGTTCAGCGACGGCGAAAACGGGATGTTTTTTTTAACCTCAGTCAATATAAGCAGCAGAATCGCCACCCACTGCTGCAACTAGCTGCTCCAAACATTAGCATGGCTGTGTCCAAAACGGCAGGACGGGTCCTCCGAAGGTCGAATTTGTCGGCCACATACGTCACAGCGCCGTGACGAAGGATGTCCAAAACTGAAGACTCCTCCGATGCGGCCGACAAATACGTCCTTCCTTTGGCCCGAATCGAAGGACAGGTCTGTTGGATCCTTCCCGCCCAGCGTATCCCATAATGCATTGCGGCCCGACCGGAGATTTTTTTTATGCTAGAAATGGTGGACGAAGCGAGTGAAAAGAATACATTTTAAATAAAAATATGGTGATATAAAAATTAAAAAGATTTAGCGGTTGTAATTCTAACACTTTTATCATTTGTATGGACATGTTTTTAAATATTATTTTTTCGTCATAAAAAACGCGAAATAAACATGAACCTACAGTGGGTCAATTAGTTCTTCAAATAATACTTTTAAGTTAATTTTATAGTTTTGTGATATTAATAATGCTAATGTATTGATATTTTTCTAGTTTTGATTAAAGTTTGCTTGTTTAGCGTCGTCACAGTTGCTAGGTGACAAGACGTACGCCGGGGTAAGGAGGGGAGGCTAGACCGTCCAAATTCACAGCCTCTTTTTTTCCGGTCTTCCCAGTCTACCAAGGACCCGGCCCGCCGAGACCGGGGAGTCTGGGTCCTCCGGAGGACCCGGCCTGTCGTTTTGGACACAGCTAATGCTCATAGCGGTGCAGCAAGGAAAAATGTCCCCTGGGAAACAACAGTTCACTGGCGGCCACGACGAAACGTTCCGCTATTTAAACCGGAATGTCCGGTATTCAGAAAATTCACATCATAACAAAAATAAAAACTGGTATTCGGAACAAAACGGTATACCGCCCAGCACTAGATTCAAGTTTTTTATTTTATTTCAAAGGTTCTCATGGCTCAGCAGCAGAAGCATAAATAATACTGTTAAGAAAGCTGATGGTAAAGTTGAATAAAAATCTAAGTCTGATTCTGAAGGTAAATTAAATATCTGACAGTGATCACACAGTGTGGCTCTAATTCCTCACTTCACCATCTGTGTTGCACTGTGAGGCACCGCACATTTTCACGTCAAGTTTGGATTTAATAAATCACAACCTTGGCGTGAAAAGTGGTGTACGCAAGTTTCTGGACTCATATTGTGCAAACGCCAGTTTTATAAATCTGACCCCTGGTCTGTTTCCTTATGTTGTCTTAAATAAAGGATTTGCTTGGAGTTTGGTCTATTTTTCTCGTTCTCTTATGCTGAAAAATAAAAACTAATTCCTGTTAAAACAATTCTTGAAATTCTGCAGCTCCACTTACATGTACAAGGTGGATTAGAAAGGTCGTTAATTTTCTTAAACTAAAAAAAAAATCAACTGACTTTGGCTGGTAAATCTGAACAGTAAAGGAGCTTAAAGTTTGCTGAAGTCGTTACAGTGCAAAAAAATCTAAACTATGAAGAGGAAAATAGTGTCATGCTTATTTAGCATTCCCACAACAAACTCACAAACCTTGATGCTAAATTTAAATCTATGAAGTTCCAGCTCTCCAAATATTCTGCTTGTGAAATGCTTTTCTTCCTTCTCTGTCTCGTGTAGTGTGAACGGTCAATACACAAAGCAAGGAAAGCTGGGAGCAGCTGTGCTGGGCAGCCACACAACAAAAGAGGTTGGGCTTAAACTTGGTCACTCGTTTGAGATTATTAGTGGGACTTTTGGTTTTAATGGTTAATGTGCAATGTGCTTTTTTTCCCCTTCAGTACAAATTGCTTCTGTACTTGAGCCAACAGAAGCAAGTTACTGCTGCCAAGATTCATGTGGGCTTTGTTTTCACGGTATGTTGACTCATAAAAGGTGGAGACGCAGATCATCTTAAAAGCTAATTGCTCTTGTGCTTTTCCTTGACTAGGCTGAGGTCTTGGATTAGAAAGGAAATTTATAATAAACTGATTGTTAAAATACATAGTGAAGTTAGAAATATATGTTGTTTTTATCTTTTAGGTACAGCCAAACAATTACTGCACTTTTTATGATGACCAGAGGCAGAACTGGTCCCTGATGTTTGACTCAGAGAAAAGCGCTTCAGATTTCTGCAAGGAGGTAAGTAATCCAGGTGATTTAGATGTACTCAACTTGTTTACATTACTATACTTTGACCAATGCATTAATTGGTCAGATAAGAAAACAAATTGGTTTTTTTTTGCATCAGTTCTGTTGATTTTGTTTGCATAGTTTGCCTGTGGAAAATAATGGCTGTCTTTAAAACATATCCTAAAACCCACTTGTTTTCTTTGGCTTTTGACACAGTGTAAGAGATTGCGTTGTCAATTTGTACCAGATTTTACCCGTTTTGATCAGATTTTATTTTTGTAGAAGTTTTCTTGATTTTATTGTAGATTTTAAATTAGGTTTTAGGCATTTGACCATTTTTAATTCCTGCTTTTAATTTTCCGGTGTTGTTTGATTAAATTTGTATTGCATGAGTTGTGTTTGAATGTTGTTTCTGTACAGCACTTTGGTCTGCTGTCGTGCATAAAGTGCTTTACAAATAAAATTGGATTGGAACAATACAAAAAAAAAAATCATTATGAATTACTTAAGCTGACTTTAGACAGAAGCTCTGCATAAGTAAATTTAGAGGTTAAAAAAAGTTAGGTGTTCCATTCAGAATTGCCTCACTTGTTTCAGACATGTGTTCACTTTTGAGTAACCAATTGTAACTATATGAACTTCTGTATAAATTATCTGTAGCATACCTGTAACTTAAAAAACAATATGTTGGCATAGGCTGAACATTTGGAGCATGTACAAAATTACTATCTGGGCATCATTTATCATCATGTTGGTAACATGTTAAAACATTAACCCTTACTCATGCAGCTTACTGTACACCAGCGTGCTGGACAAATTTTGCATATGTCAGCATAAGTTGTCTAAAATGTTATCGTGTGATAGGTCCTTTAAAATGAGGTGAATACTACCTCACATGTTATCTTACAACAACTAAGTCAAAATCCAAAGCAGTATGCCAAAAACAAAGCTCATTTTTAGTTCTTCAATACATACATTTCCATACAGCAACAAATCAATAAACAGGTTAGTTTACAAAAAACATAGCTCTGACACTGCAGTTACAGAAACTAAATGGAAAAGGGTTTTGGGAGGAGTTCTGGATCCAGTAACTTGGCAACTTTTAAGGGAGAATATCTGCATTGCGATTTTCCTTTCTTTTTTTGGAATGTTCTCAAAGTTCATGTGACACATATTCATGGCTTGGAATGCAGCGTTCTAAGATGTTAAAAATTTTTTGGAGAAAAAAAATTGTTGCTGTAAATTAAATTCAAATACTTTATTGATCCCAAAGGGAAATTACAGTTTGGAACAGTTCAGAGACAAAACAAAAGAATCATATACATGGGAGGACAGGATCCCCAGGTCCTGCAGCCATAGAGAGGCACTACTCTTGCAGAAAAAAGAAAAGGCAAACATGAAGGTAGATGAGGGATAAAAGAAAACATCTTTGTGTCCCTACAAGGACACTGTACGAGTTTACAAAAAGAAAAAAACCTCTGCATAAAGGACGTATACAGCTCTGGAAAAAATTAAGAGACCACTGCACAGTTTCTCTGTTTTTGGGTGAAATAATTTCACCAAATTATGATTTCTGGACTCTTCTTGAGTTCAAACATTAGTATTGTTGTTTCTAAATGAAAATGAACTTGCTTTCCATGCATTATTTGAGGTCTGAAAGCTCTGCATCTTTGTTGTAATTTTGACCATTTCTCATTGTCTGCAAATAAAAAATACAAAATTTTTGCTTGGAATTTCGGAGACATGTCAGTAGTTCATAGAATAAAATAGCAATATTCATTTTACTCAAACATATACCTATAAAGAGTAAAATAATAGAAACTGATCATTTTAAAGTGGTCTCTTAATTTTTTCTAGAGCTGTATAAGCCTAAACTAATGTTTTACCGTAGTCTTCCAAATTACTCTGTATCTTGTACAAACATTTTGTCCTCACTCTCAACAGCAGCTATAAACTGTTTTAAAAATGATATAAAATAATTGTTGTGACTTTTAATTTATGTTTCATATTGTTTATATACTGAAAATCTGTTTTGTCAATTACCAGTATATAAACAAAATGATATTTTAGTATTTTCCTGTTAATAATTAGCTATTTAACTGAATTGAGACTCAGCAGGAAACAGCACTTTGTGAATGTTGTGAGCAGTTTGGTACAGAAAAGTGACATACTGTTAACTGATCAACAGTGAGTGAGTCTCTATAATTCTTCTAGTTTCTTCCTGAATTGTAAGTCTTTTTGGTTCTAACAGAAAAACATAAAATTATGTAAGTGGTAATAGCTTTATTTGGGAATTTGGTCATGTCATCATAAAAGCTAACATTAAAGCTGTCACTCCATTCTTTTTGGGAGGGTGTCATTGTGTTATACCTGTGCCCATTGACGGCTGGTATAAGTGGGCTAGTAGGGCTAAGCCCTCCCTGGTGTTCACAATAAAAATGTTAAAATAAACAATATAATAAAATTATAATATAATTATATACAATTTATAAATAACAACTTAAAAATAAACAAATTTTGAAAATAATATATCGTATTTTGTGAAATTTACAAGGAAAACTGGTGCCAAACCAACTGGGAAGATCCCAGGGTCGTTCTGCAGGGCTAACTATTCACAGCCCATTTTCATGTAATGTGTGTCCTGGTTCAGAATGATTGACAGACGTCTCGCCACGCCCCCTCGGTTTGAGGCACATTGGGGCTAATTCTGTTCAGCCCAGGATCAGCCCAAAGCCACAGGATTCAGCCAATTAGGGTGGACGTACAAAAACATGCCTCCAGTGTGAGTGGATGTGGGCATGGTTTGGTGCAGGCTGAGTAGATACGATGCCAGGCAGCAAGATTAACATGTTAAGAAATGGAGAAGCTAAACAATTTAGCTAAGTTTCTTAAAACAAAAAAGTGTTTTAGACCAGAACACTTCAGGAGAAGCTTAAAGTAAAAAAGCTTGGACCAGATCTGCTGGACAAGAAAAGCAGCAGAACAAAGACAGAGGGAGAGTTTACACTCTATTATTTTCCAAGAACTGGATTAGCAACAGGCTAAGCTAACTGCTTTTAACGAGGCTAATGGTTTGTTTTGATTCATTGCCTCATTTTTAAAGCATCAGGATCTGACCCAGCATGGATTTAAACAGGTAAGAAAAAAAGCTAAAATAATTTTGTAATGCTTTTAATCATAGTAGTGCTATAATATAGTTGTGCTTTTAATCATAGTATAATAGTTATATTGTTTTATAATTGTTAACACAGCTTTAAATATAATATAATATAATATAATATAATATAATACCTTAGAGGTGCAACAATTTGTTGTTAATAAATTAACATGTGTATTCATAACTTCAGTTGTTTTCTATGTATTGAATATTATAAAGTTCACTTGTAGCCATCTCCATACTGAATTAAATTTGTGCATTTATTTTTTGTTTAGGTTTGTGACATCATCTTGAGCCATTCACAAGCATCTGATCAGAGCTGCAGGCAGACGTTCCTGCAGGTCTCCATTTCACCACCATGGAGGCTGCAGTGCTGAACAGGACCAAGCTAAACACTGAACAGGCTTTTATGAGATCAGGAGCTGCAGTGGTGCTGTGGAGCTCTTCATGGAGAACAATCTGCATCTTCAGAGACTGTGACTCTGMTGAAGRYTCTCATCACATCTCCTCTGACCACAGCTGAATCTGAGAGGAGCTGAACACTGAAGACAATCCAGACTTTCCTCAGTGACATCACATCTCACTGCACTGACCATGCTCTCTGGTTAAAACATCCTGAATTTAACCAGTCATGAAGAAATTTGCTTCTCAGTAACAGAAGAGCAAAATTTATGTACTAAAAATAAAACACTACATGACTTTGTAATGCTGTTTTATTATTGTCATTTGTTTAATAAATACACTGGCGTGATACAACTTAGTACATGTTTGATTGCTTTTTGGGATACGTCTATTTTGGAGTTGTAGTCCCACCTGGAGAAAATTCCACCAGCCGCCACTCTCTGTGCCACATCAATGCTGAGTTTTGGTTTCCATACACAGTATTATCAGTCTTTAGAAGATTTATGCTTGGCTACCTTTTGCTCTTTTTTTAATAATTTTTGTATATTTTCATTGCTTGATTTTAGACATGAAAATTAATATAATTGTCTTGAGCTTTTGACCCTGACAAAGTCAAATTGTATTTTTAAATACATTTGTGTTGAAACATAGTCCTTAAAGTTAAACTAAACCAACAAAAGAAGAGTTGACCAAAATCATCTCCACAAAGATATGAGACTAATGATGTTTACTGAGAGTTACTGCTGCTAAAGATGATCTAAAAGCTCAGTCAGTTATTTTCAGGTATATAAGAGAGAGCACACTGCTTATCCAACCCATTGCTTACATTTGTGATGTTTTGGGGAAGCCAAGGATGTGTTCAAAGAGCAACAGTTCTCAGCTGATAAAACAAGAGTCTGATTTTATATTTTATTCTCTTTTTTTTTTCTTTCTTTGATTTAACAAGCTCTTGTCTGTTTTCATAATCAGGTGTGTTTGGCCAAAGCAAACAGCACATCCTCTTTGGATTCAGTGGTGATTCAGGATCTGAGTCTCGGTGAGGGCCAGGCGGTGGAGAATGGGGACTCCTTGGAGGTGGTGTACACAGGCTGGCTCCTGCAGAACCACACGATAGGACAGGTCTCACATCAGTTTGACTTTATCAGCTTCACCTCTTGTGACTTGTCTTGATCCGATTATTAAACTTGGAAAATCATTTTAGGTTTTCGATTCCAACCAGAACAAAGACAAGTTCCTGCGACTTAAACTCGGAGCTGGAAAAGTAATAAAAGTGAGTCAAAATTATGTTATTTTACAAGAAATAGTTTTAGTCAAACTAATTCAAAAGAAGATTGTTAACTTGTCATAACTCATCTTGTCATATTATCTTCTAAATGGGAGCCATTTTTCTCTCATGATATAGGATTAAAATATGTTTGACTTTTACACAGTCTTTACAAAAACTGATGATATTTTTCTGTGAATAAATACTCATTAGGAGTGAATACAAGATACAAAGATTTGTGCATAAAGCAGCAGTCCAGTCACATTGGAATTCTTGTTATCTGAGTCATAATCAAACATTTCAAATAACACCAAAAACACAAAAAGAGGTTTTGTGCCAGAGTAGAGAGTGAGTCCTACTTTTGGACAGCGCTGGGCATACATAGTCCATGGAGGGAGGTTTTGTTCCTACCATCCTCTCTGCAGTCTTTGACTCTTTCCAGAGCCTTCCTCTCTGCTTGTGTTGTATTCCCATACCAGACAGTGATTTCGGTGGTTATGATGCTCTCTATTGGTGTTCTGTAGGCCGGGTCTAGATTTGTTGTTGTTTTGTTTTTTAAGTTGTTTAGAAGTTTAAAAACTCACTAAATCTAGTGACAAAGTCACTAAGTTGGCAGCACTGGCAGCTGCTCTCTCCTGTCAGCACATAAATAAAGGGGTGGGACACACACCAGTAGTCTGCATTCTCATTGGTTGAAACCAGAGGTCTATACTGTAAGTACTAGAACAAAACAACTAAGTAAAAGTAAAAATACCTTAACAGAAAATGGCTGTGGTAAAAACAAATTTCTAAGTAAAAAAGTAAGTAAAAGTCATAAAACTGTTCACAAAAATCAGGTAAGTAAACGTACTTTTACACTCGCTAAGAAATAAACTGTTGTATTTATTTGTTTGTTTGTTTGTTTTACCTTGTCCTGTCTGGCAATGTGAACTGATGTCTGAGTGTCCAAATGAAGCCCAACAGTTTTACTTTCACAAGTGCAGCATAAAGACATTTCACCATGATGCTTTGGGATTAATTCGTAATGGACACCAAGACGGAAAAAGTAAACAAAGAAGAGCAAAAGGTGAAAAGTGAAAGAAGAGGTAGAAAGGGAAACAAGAAGATAGGAGAGAGGTGCATTAAGAAAATACAAGACAACACATTTGTTGTCTTGCCTCCACACCTGCAACAAGAGAAAGAAATAAACTGTTGAATTTACTGAACCAAACTGGTTCCACTAAACCAAGTTGAGTAAATATGAGGCAGTATACATATGTTCTGTATATTGCCTCACATTTACTCTACTAGGTTTAGCAGAATCAGCTGACATACGTAACTTGGTTGAGTAAATTCAACGCTTCATTTTTATGGCACATAAACAACTCCTTTCAAGATGATTTTGTGTTTATAACACATTTAATTTTGTAACAAGTAACCACATGTTTTAAAGTAAAGACGTAAAAGCATAATTTATAGGTTTTTAAATGTAACAAAATAAAAATAAATGTAAAAAAATACTTGTTAAAATTACAAATCCTCAAAAAAATGACTTAAGTACTGTAGCTAAGTACGTAGTAACTATAAACCTCTGGGCCTACAGTATGGATTGTGATTGGTTGGAGAGGCTGTCCATCTTTTCTCACCCCTGTCATTTCAGGCACCCTCGTTTTATGAGTTACACTAACTTTGCCGCACTCGTTTCAGCTGAGAATGCTTCTGTAAATGTGCCTGACAACAATCTAAACTAAATTTAGATTTTACACAATGAAAATTACTGGCTGACTGGTACTTTTGAGCCCCATGTATATATATATGTAAATTCTATAACTTTGTGTTTATCTGGGTCATGGTGCAGCATGTTCAAAAGTTACTAGCAGAGTAGAAATGAACTGATATTCTTGTTGGTGGAAATGAAATCTGTTAATTATTAATAAAGTTAAACTGCTGAACAAAGACCGTCCATCATTAAACAGAGGTGGAGGCCTCCGTTTTCAGTTGTCCCCCTCCTACAGTGTGGCCATTGCCAGTATCACTCCACTCCCTGTTAACAGTAAGTGTTAATTAGGTGTCAACGATAGCCATGTGATGTGAGTGTCAGTCACATGGAGGCAGGGTTTAAAAGCCTGAATTTTGCCTGAAACTCTCAGACTGAAGAAGTCTCTTGGAAGAGAGACGAAACGTTTCATTAGAGAAGAACCCGTCCAGAAGACCTATAAAAAAATTTTTCGTTTTGATTTTTTTACCTGGATTACTGAGATGCATCAGGACATGCTGAACAAAGTATTAGTTCTGCTCTTAGTGGGTTAGTGGAACTGTGCCCACTTCTGCTAAAAACTAAAGGAAGTGAAGCTTTGGAATGATTATCTACAGAGTACCAGCTGGCCTAACTGGATGATACAATTAAAAAGCTTATGTTTTAATGTAATCACCTGATTCCTTCTTCTGTTCTCTATGTGTTGACAGGGATGGGAGGAGGGGATGCTGGGAATAAAGAAGGCGGGTCGTCGTCTCATTATCATCCCACCCAGTCTAGCTTATGGGTCCAAGGAAGTCCCTAACAGAGTCCCAGCTAACAGTACTCTTATCTTTGAAGTGGAGCTTCGAAGGGTACACTTTTCTACATTCTTTATCTGATTCTTATTTTCAATGTTTCGGTTCAGCATTTTAGGTTGATTATATTTTTACTGGAATATATAGCAGGGTTTATTGAGATTGTGTTTGTAGGTAAAGTTTTCTAAAGATAGCAGTTCTGATCAGACAAGTACCAGCTCCAGAGACTCTGCTGCTCCCTCCCCTTCTCCATCTTCAGCCACAAGTGTGGAAAATCTGGCCCCAGAGCCTCCTGTACCAGCAACTGCATCATGTCCTGGCAAACCAGGGTAAGAGCTTCAGGCCTCGAAGAGAGAAAAAAAGCTTAAAAGTGTCACGCTCAACCTTTCTGTCTGTCTTTGACCTCTGTTTTTTTAATGATTTGTTTTGTATTTCTTCTAAGGGAGACACCGCTGCGTGTAAAGTCTAACTCTCTGAGTGAACACCTGGCGGTAAGCAGCTGCTCTGCATTCATTGTATCTGTATTAAAGTACTTGAGTTTTGTCAAATCATTCTAAGGAAAACCTTTTATTTTATTTTCTTCAGAATCCAGATGCCACTAAAGCAAAGCTAATCTCCCGCATGGCAAAGATGGGTCAACCAATGCTGCCTTTTCTGACAGGAGCTGCCAGTCAGCCTGAATCCAGTGACTCTGAGCTCGAGGTCTGCATTTGACCCCTTAGTTTCTTACTTGTACTGGACTGATTGTGGGGCAGCTGTGGCAGTGGTTGGGGTGGGGGGGGGGTCATCCTGGAACCGGTAGATGATTGTACATGTTAGCTTTGTAAAGATCTAGTAGATTGGTGTGTGAATGGTTAAATGAGGACACAGACTGTAGTGTGAAGCCCTTTGAGTATCCGGGTTGGATAGACTTCCTCACTAGCATGAAAATATTTTACTCAGTCATCCAACAGCATCCGGATATGCTGATCTTGATAGATGAAGGGTTTTTGAAATTTTCCTTACAGGATCTTTATGGATTAAAAGGTATATTCGTATAGAAAAAGAATACTAAAGAAAATGTTAAACTTGGCAAATTGCATCTTCTGCTAAAATACAGTTTTAAGTACTGAGTTCTGATTGACTGCTGAAGAAGCCGAAAGTTAGTGGTTAAAGCCAAAAGCTAAAAGAAAACATTAGCTACCAGCCTAAAGTAGCAAAATGCTAGTTAGATGCTCAAAGAAGTAAAAGACTAAAACGTAAGTGTAGCTTAAGGCCAGAAAAATTAGCAAATGACTATCTAGAAGTGGCAAAAGATTTGTAAGCTTTGAGAAATATGTAGATTTCAGAGGATTTAAAGAGACCTTGTTCTACTTGCGTATGGAGATTTTTTTGTGAAATAAGTTAAGTATTGTGAAAAGTATAAACGTTAAAAAATCATTTACATACTAAATGAATATTTAGATAGGGTTCAATATTTAAAGTAGCACAAAGGTTGTATTAAGGGCAAAAAATATAGTGAAAAAACAAACAAATGCTGTTAATGTGTTGCATTGTGAAATAAATATTATTAGTTTTGTTTTTTAGTTTAGTTATATTTGAGGCATGTTTTAAGCCATCATCTCATTAGTTTGCAAAGAAAACAAAACTTTTATTTTTTAAGTTGTTTAATGAGCTCTCTTTTCAAAACTTATCAAATTTGTATTAACTTTATTTAACATTTTTTTATTCCTAAACATAAAGATATACAGTGCTGTATCAGTGGAATGTTTGAACATCTGAAAAGGTCAGTGTGACCTGCAGATAAGAGCAACTCTTAGCTTTAGCATGGTTTTATCCAGTTATTTTCTGTTAAACACAAACTATGAAAATGATTTCTGGTGTTGTTCTTGAGTCCTCATTGTTTTACGTTCAACTCCAGGACACCAGTGGCACCAGAAGTAAGGACTGTCCTGCAGGTCCTTCTCCAGTACAAATTACATCTGCTGCTCCAGCTTCTGCTCACAGTAAGTGTTTTTCCCACTTTACTTATTTCCATATGTTCTGCAGCTCTGGATTATCTGTTAAAGTGTTCTGTTTGTCTTGAAGTCCATTCTCATCAACACACTGCTCCAACATCTGCCTTACTTCCTGTGATGACTTCTGTTGGCCCTCAGTCTGGGATGCCAGGCAGCAGCCACGCCTTTCAGGTGATGCTTCTTTATATTTTATGTCATATTAAAGGGTACAGAATAATAGGTACTGGAATAAAACAAACTAATCTGTTATTATGGCTTGAAACCAGTGCATTATGTTGTTTCATAGCCTTATTACTACACACAGCCCCCTGCAGCTCCTCCAGTGCAGCCTATTGGCTATCCTGTACAGACGGTTCCATACATGGGTAAGCTTACTGACTTCAGCTACAAGAAAGTAATCATATTCTCAAATTTTCTGTTAGATTCCAGTGCTGAAATATTTTAAGTCAATCCTCCAGGTCCTGGAGATGTTACTACTTTCTTGATGACCGAGGCTCGGCAACACAACACAGAGATTCGGTTAGCTGTGGGAAAAGTAGCAGATAAGTTGGACCAGCTTTCTTTAAAGGTATAAACCTTTATATGAAAATAATGTCAACTGATTTGCTTTCAAGCAAATTAGAAAACCTGCTTCTGATTTTTTTCATCCTTACAGATCGATGATCATCAAAGACAAGGAAGTCATCCCATGAGTGTTTCCACCATGACAATGGAAACGTCCATGGTTCTTCACAATATTCAGAGAATTGTCCAGGTATACACACAAAATGCTCATGACTTTTTGTAGGATTTGATATTTGTTCATTATGGTGGTGTTTCTATACAAATATATCAACCATTGGTCATTGGGATCCATTAGCGTATTTTTTTAAGGTGGATAATTTCCACTGTATTTTAATTACTTGTACTTTGCCATTTAGTATTTTTTAACCAGTAAACCTGAGCATGCTATAATACACCCTGATCATGTTTAATCAGTCTCATCTATTTCCAGCAGCAAATCCTCAAACATGAGTTTTAATTTGACAGTTGAAAAAAGCAAAACAATGATGATACTGTCAACAAAAACCTATATTTAAGAAATATTTCTTCAAAAACAGGGGTGCCCAAACATTTTCCCCAAGAGGACCAAAATGAAAATCGGTCCAGGGCTGCAGGCCAAATGCATATAATACATAAAATATAAATAATTTTTAAGAAAAGTTCTTTATTTTAATGATTAAGTTAGCAGCCAGTGGCCCACTTTTGTTTTAGTCTGTGCACTTAGAAAAGGTTTGCCAGACGCTCAAGTAGCAAAGGCTCATGGGACATTTCGTAAAATAATAAAATATGAGTTTTTGTGGCCTTATAAAGTGTGCAAATCTACATGTGTGGTTAAATGTAATCTAAATATTTCTAGGTTGTTTTTTTTACTTTATCAAGTTCTAATAATTTCAAAATTGTTTTTAGGAAAATGAATCTTTGAAAAAGGAAGTCTTTGAGAAAAGTTCTCGTATCGAGGAGCAGAATTTTAAGATCGGTGATCTTATCAACCAGAACCAAAGGTGAGTCAGCAGGTGTCAAAGTGTGTATCTTTTGGTCACAAAGGTTATCCTGATTCTTTGAAAACGGAGTAAGGTAGGGAAGGGAAGCTCCTTCAGGAGTGACCAGAAGCTCCAATATCAGCCCTGCCCAAGTCCCAACATTTTTGTGTGCCTTTCTTCCATGAGCTTGTACAAGCAGAGCAGTGTGCTGAAGTACCTCACTCGGTTTTCAGAGAACCAGGGTTATCTGAAACAAAAGTTCTCTTTCAAACCTCACTTTGTGTCTCACTATGGGAGACACCTGGATTGCATGTTCAGTAACCGTATCTAGGCATCTTTATTTGTTGGTGAGGTGTTGGTTCTAGCAACTGGAACCTGGATTCCTTGTAGTTCTCTGTCTCTTTCCTATCCTCTCAAACCCAGCCAATAAAGGCAGATGTTGTCTGTCCTGAGCCTGGTTCTGGTTCTGCTGGAGGTTTCTTCCTGTTAAAAGCGAGTTTTTCCTCTCTACTGTCACTAATGAGCTGCTCAGGATGGGAGACTGTAGCTGCATTTCCATTGACCATGAAAATGCGCAAATTAGAATTTCGAAATTAAATTTGCTCGATGGAAACACATCAGTTTCGAAAAAACTTCCTTTTTTCGACAAAATGGTTTTGCGCTAGTATAAGGTGGTTTTTCGGCTGTATCGAAATTGGTGTATTTCACAAAACTGCAATGGAAACACTTTTTTCGCATCACGGGAGTCACGTGATCAACAACCAGCTGTTTCTACTGGCGAATAAGACGATGATGAAGAAGACAACAGAAAGTAGAAGTAGTAGTAAACGAAGCTGTAAAAGAAAGTAGTAAACTCACCGACTACAATTTCCCAAAAACGCTGCATACATAGCTGCTCTCAATTATAAGGGGCTTGTTGCTGGAAAGCCTCGATAAGATGCCGACATCTCCTCTGATGATGAGCGCTAGTGTCATGGTTGCAATTATGCATGTGTTTACATCCATTGCCTCCATGTTTGTAATGACTTATCGCGAGAACAAACGTATTCACGCGTGACTTTAATAGCATTTCTTACTTAATGGAAACACAGTTGTGAAACTGTGTTTTTCAACATTAACAGAATATCGACAAAGTTTTGCGCACATTTGCAATGGAAACGCAGCTTGTGATGAAGTGATTCAACACAATCTTCTGGCTTCTTTAGATTTTTTATGTGTACAGTGCCCTGAGATGTTGTATGGTGTGACTTGGAGCTATATAAATAAATTGAATTGAATAGTGGCGGCTGTGGCCCCTTGCTGCCATGGTTGCGAAGCCCTGACGAGCAGGCGTCAACTGGTGCAGCACAACCTTGTACAGGAGACCCCTGTAACCCCTCACCCTGCTTCTTCCTCATGTCCCTAGTTGGTAAAATCTGCAGTGCCATTGAGCAACAGTGGTCACATGAGTCAGGTTCACCCAGCTCCTCCTGAATGTTTCAACCCCATGCCTGTGATGCAGAGGGGATGTGGGTCATTTTTGAGATGGAGAGTTTGCAGGAGGCAGATCAAGGGTGTGAATTCCTCAGTCTTGTCACCACCCTTCTTCCCCTGAGAAGAACCAGCGGTGGCCATCCTGTTAGCAGTTTGTGGTTGCAACAAACAGGATCCAAATATTAAAAGGAAGTCCGCCACAACACGAAAACCCCACCTAATTAGAATTTCCTTACAAGTCCAATTCTAACAGGTGAGTGTCATGATTGGGTGTGAAGGGGGAATCCCCGAAAGGCTCAGTCAGTCGAGACGAGGTTCACCAAATAGTTCAACATTTTAAAAATGTTTCTAAACTACAATAGGTATGTGACTTTAGGTCAGTCAGATTCATTGATAGAATTTTGTAAAGTTTTCAGTCCTAACTTTTGTGTGATGTAATAAGGTGATTCTGTGGTCGACCAGGTACATGGAACAGAGTCATCTGCTGCTTGAACAAAGGACTGATACCCTGAAGTCATCCAGTGAACAGAACCAGGCAAGATTACTGCAAGCTGAGCAGGACAAGGTAAGAGTTTGTCTTTCTGCAAAACACCACGTCACAGCTTCTGGAAAAACAACCAACAAAAATGTATTTCATAACATTGTCAGACTGTAGTGGTAGCTGATGTTTGAGTCATATAAACTCATACAGTTGTCAGGAGTTTACATCCACTTCTCAGCATGAACGAGCTGAAGGATTTTACAATATACAACCTCAATGATTTGAAAAGTAAAAATCAGTAACCAGGCACGTCTTCTTCAAAGCCATGTTGTTGTAATGGATGCAGCAACTGTGGCAGAGTGGGACAAAATGAGGAGTGGAGCAGAACTATGCTGGGCTGAAGTGGAGCACAACATGTTTACTGTGATGAACGTCTGACACTACCTCCCTTGGCGGCTCAGAGGGRCACCAGAGGCAGGCTCTCTTTAACCTCCCTGACCACTACAGTGTGTCTTCTGAATGATACAAGGGGGACAGAACATGCATCAGTCCCGGTCTGAGCTGTCCTGTGAATGAGGCTAATATGTCAGTTTAAGCTAGCTTTCTCGTTCCCTTATCCTGACCACACCCCCGATTAACCTCCTTTGTTCATACCCACACGTGGCCACGCCCCTCATCGTCTCTTGGCACCGCCCACTTTGTTGGGATTTTTCAAAGCTTGCCTGGGTGTGGATTGTGCATTCACCGGGGGTGGTGGGGATAGTTAAACTTTAAAGTTGTATTCTTCTGTTCACAGAACAATTTTCCGCTTTGCCTCTGTCCATTTTAATTGAGTTATATTAAAATGGCAAACGGCCTGAACTTGTATAGCATTTTATAAAGTAAGAACTTTACACTACAGTCGTTCACACACTGATGGTGCTAAGCTACATTGTAGCAACAGCCTCCCTGGGGCACACAGACAGAGGTGAGTCTGCCAACGGACCCTCTGACCCAGGTGAAGTATCTTGGCCAAGGACACAACAACTGAAATGTACTGAATGTTGGTTTTAAACCAGCAACCCTGCAGTTACAGGACAAACTCCCTACCTCCTGAGCCACTGTCACCCTGATGAGTTTTGCTCTAGAAAAGACGTGTACACATGGCTTCTACTTTGCACAATAGAGTTTTATCCTTGATTTCAATGTTCAGTTCAATTCAATTCAATTCAAAGATTTATTAATTTCATTAAAAAATAACTATATACAATAAAAGAAAATACACAATCAAAATAAAATGAAAGGTAGCAGAAAGAATAAATCTTATAATGTCTGTCCCTTTTATCCCAGAATATATTCAAACAAAACATAATTTACAAAACAATACTAAATAAAAATAAAAATAAAAACAAGAACATAAAAACATAAACCCAAACAAGAAGAAAAAATTGTGTAGGTCTTCTGGACGGGTTCTTCTCTAATGAAACGTTTCGTCTCTCCTCCAAGAGACTTCTTCAGTC